CTCGACAAACTGCCTTTTGGTCATGCTACCTTCTGTTGTCCTTGTTGGACGATGGGAACAAACAATCCACGTTCTCCGAAATGGCCTCATCTCTAGATTGGTTGTCACAGAGACAGCATCTTGTTCTAGTGAGAAGGAATGAGGTTTGAAGCTGCAATAGGTTTCCAAATACGGTCGAGTTGACTTGGGATAGGTCGAGCTATCTTCACTTTTGCCATTAGCCTTTGCTAATTCTCTCACTGTCTTTCCTTGGGAGCTTTGTCCCAGTTACAAATTGTATATCAGGTGTAGTGTGAATTGTAAGGTTTCATCATGCAAGTGGTATCTTCCACCTCCCCTGTTACACTTACATGTGTTACCTGTTACACAAAATTACAGGTACAATGCACTTTCTAGGTCAGTTATTATATGTGTATTCAGGGCCGTCGAGAGCGGCGGCGGGCCCCGGGCTCCCAGCGGGATCCAGGAACTGAGCCCCTGATGGGAGACCAAGAGGGAAGCTCTAGACTTTTAGTAATTTTAGCAATATTTTAAGTCTTAAGTTACGGCTTAAAGTGCCGATTTCCTTTGTGAAATTTTCCGTGGACAAAGGCCTTTAACGATCAACAATGTCATCTTGAGAAAAGAAAAAACGTAAACATCTGTTCATTTAATTTGATAATTTATTGAAAGTTTAAACAAATTGTCAAGAAATACTTTAATGAGTTCAGTAATGCAGAATGGTGATAACTGCCTCTTTTAAAACAAATGTTTTTATTATTTCAGTGAAGTCAATTCTCCCTGCAAGTTCGCTCTCAATACTAAGGACGGCTAGGTCATTCAGTCTCTCCTATGTCATCGTGCTTCTCAAGAAGCTCTTGATGAGTTTTAGTTTGCTGAACGGTGCGCTGGAAAACGCTCGCAGCGCACAATTCTCTCTTTAGTGCGAAATTTCTGTCTTTGACTTTAACTCGAAAATCTTTGTTTTTAATATCAGTTGCATTAGCATTACCAGCAGTTTTTAAATGTTTTATTGCTATAACTATGTTTGAAGGAAATCCCTTTATTCAGTCCAAAGTTATGCTATTTTACATTTTGAACTTGGCTTGGCTTGTAGACTAATTTCGCATCAGTTTTACTGGTCTATGGATTCTTAGCTTAAGAGTATACAAATTTTTAAAACGTCGAGTTTAAAGTTGGGGCATTTTTATGGGCCCTTGGGCATGCACGGCCCCAGGGTAGTTGCCCCCTCGCCCCCCCCCCCTCTCGGTGGGCCTGTGTGTATTTATTTACATATGTATATTGTCATATACATATGCCACCATTACATTATGTCAAGTACTGTAGCAGTTTATACAGCTTACCTCTGCCTACCTCATGAACCACTTCAATAACGTTCGAATGATATTGACAAAAGTGTCATCAACGGGCCTATAAACTCAGTTGATATTTCAGACCTAAAAGAATATGAAATCACTGCCAAATTTAAGGCAAATTAGGACTTTTTATCTAAAAGTCTATTTACCAGGATCAAAATTCGTGTTTGACTGTTGAACTCCAATACACATTCAGGGAAAGCTGTATTTACTTGTAGATTGTAGATCTGACACATTTCCCAGAAAAACATGAAAACCAAGCAATTACTGGATGATATGCTCCACAAAATTCTCACCACTCAATCAAATTGTTGAAGAGATTTTCTAAAAACACTGGATGATGTTTTTCATCAGAAAATCCACCCAGTGGCTTGGAAAACAAGGGATTGTAATGTCTTTCAGTTACAATCATTCTAGCTGTTGGTAATTTAATGATAATTCTACAATGTATTACATACATCATATCTTAATATCATTTGATAGCTTGGAAAGAAAGGAATGTCATTTCATTTCAGTCTATGATTGTGCAGATCAATGACTGTCATAACTGTCAATGATTGAGTAGCAGTTTCACAACGTAGTTCATACATTTTGCTGGACTTTACTACCCGAGGGCTCAGGAAGTAAGAACTGCTACTTACTTTCAACAAGTCCCTTGATGGGGCAGCTGTGAGTCTATGGACTTCCAATGCTAAAATTCGAAGTTAGATTCTCTGTGGTGGACACAGCACATAGCTCAATGTGTCTTTGCTCTAAAAAAAACACACACAGACTTTCAATAATTGATTTCTTGAACTGGTCACTGTATTTGCTTTCACACTAGTGGCTACTGCAAAATGTAGTACACCCATAGCCTCATATCATCACTCAGTAGCTTGGAAATGTAAGGAGTCATGACACCATTTCAGTCAGCAATACTTTGACTATTTGATAATCCTGGCTTTTAATTTAGTGGAAATCATGTAATGTAGTGCATACATTAAAGAGTGCATCATTTGATAGTTTGTAAAGCAAAAATGCCACTTCCTTTCAATTATTGGGTACTCGACCTAATAACCACCCTATATGTTGATAATCAGTCCAATCTATACTCATCTTAAGGCCAACATCTTTTCTGCTGATCAGAGGTGGTAGCTGCCTTCATTTCCAGTGACTCTTCATTTGGTTCATCATATACTACAGATTAATCTCTGCAGGTTTCTTTCCCTCGTCAGATAGAATGGAATGATTTGAAACAGAGTTTTTGTTTTCCCCTTACTCATCAGTTTCCTCTCCAGACTCCTAGTCAAGCTAATGCACCATCATTTCACTGTAACATAAGAACTCAGCTTAATGAGGTGCTCCAGATGCAAGTTGAAACATTTGTTCTTTCATCATCTAATCATAGCACTTCTCCTGTTGAGGTGTTGCCTTCCTGAGTTATTGTTGAGCAAACTCATGTGCATCGATCATTGTCAATCTCATCTACTCCACATACTCTTGGGAAAACTGGGAGACTTCTCCTTGTGTTAATGGACCATACATAAAGTTCACTGGGAGCGACTCTTCTCTTTAAATATGAGCAGGTTTGGTAAAAAAAAAGCCCGTTGATACCTGTTTCATTGCTCTATATGCCATCATCACATATGGCAAGCATTTGTCCCATTGACTCTGTCAGAATCAACAAACTTTGCAAGCATATACTTGGTAGTCTGTATTACCCATTCTGCCAAACCATCAGAGTTGGGGTAATAGGTGGAACTACGAGTCTTCACTACACCTAACATTTTGTACAACTCAATGAACAGTTGTTTCTTGAAGCTAGTTCCATGACTAATGTGAACTTCTTTTGATGCTTCGAATCATGCTATCCCATTTCTAGTTAACACGCCCACAATGGTTTGTGCTAATGTACTGACCAATGGATAAGCTTTAGCCAACTTTATGATTTAGTAGTATGCATTGAGGAACTCTTGCAATTTCCAGGTGTACAACAGCAATATCCAGGACCATCCTCTGTAGAAGAGACCAACAAATGTTTTCACGTGACTTCCGCTGTCATAACAATATATATATATTGTATGGATACTTGAGCAAATTTTCATGGTGTGAACGCCTCTTGTCAGCGAAGCGTGATTACAATCGGTTTTATTTGTAATGTGTTATGTTCATGTAACACTGATTTACTCTTGGAGAAACGGATAGATCCGTGTAATAACAGAAGATTTGGTCAAGACAAGTCGTACTAAATCTCTGAATAACCGAGCTTTGACATTGAATAAAATAACAAACTGGACACAAAGTGAAATGCGAAATGAGAGATCTTTACTACAACATATGTAAAATACAAATACAGTGCTTGTATTTGATTTTATGGAACAACTGACAGTTACTTTTACTGGATTTCCTTTCAAATTGCTTAGTCCTTGAGATCATGTTTCAGACTGTTTAACTTCAATGTTTCTTTGTTTGCAGGAAACGTCATTATTACCCAGAATGGCTAGCAATGTGATATTTGCAGTTAATATTGATTTCTCTATAAATATGAGTGCATGGGTGAAATTTCTAGATTTCTTGTGTTTAAAGAGTTAATTGAGTATTCCTTTTGGTTTGTAAATAATAGGGTGAACATGGTTTAAGTAAACAGAGTCTTTAGTTAGAAAAAAGAAAACAAGTGAACATACTCATGGACTACAACGGATAGTCCTTTTTTTCTGATTTGTGTTTAGTATTGTAATCTTCTTATTCTCAATCCTGAACATAAAGACAGATCTTCAATGAAAGCAAGCTAGGAAAGAATGTAGAAAGAAAGTTTGTTTGTTTGTTTTTTTAATTTCGCGCAAAGCTACACGAGGGCTATCTGCTGCATACCATAGCGGTGCCCATATGACTGGTCATTCACATTCCAACATAGGTGAGGCATTAATTTCTAGGTACCATAGAAACTACGTTGCTCTCGACATCCATGTACAGTTTGCAGAATTGAGGTAATAAATTCTGGGCATAACAGGTATTATCCACTAGAGAACAACAAAGAAACAAAGGCAGCTAGATCGAAATTATCTTAATGGTTTTTTTGGTCGCATGTGAAAGCCGCAAATATTCAGAATGTATTACACATTCAGAATAACTATTATAACATTACAAAAAGATAGAAAGCATAGTATATTTACACGCCACAGTCATAAGATAGTAGTACTAGACTTATTGTATTTTTAAACGTTACATTCTTTATTCGATCGCATATGGTCTGACCCCCAATGGCACAGCGGTATGTCTGCGGACTTACAACGCTAGAATCCGGGTTTTGATACCCATGGTGGGCAGAGCACAGATAGCCCATTGCGTAGCTTTGTGCTTGATTACAAACAAACAATCATAGGGTCTTTCCCTATCATAGTGTACAACAGTATTTCAACCATTGACGACGTATAAAACCTATGTGATTTCAACTATTATATATCCCCCACATCCACTGACGACGACGCATTTTGCACAATACCAGGGTTCATCCAGCTGGATAGGATACAATTAAGGTGGTAGAGGTAGGAAACTATTTATATAAGCTATTTGTCAGAATATCCATTTTTATGGTGTGAACACGTATATATATAGCTTTCCCCTAGCGACGAACAATTAGAATACAACTACTGTACTGCTCCAGCTTGTACAAGTCTAGCATCTCGTTGTTCTACTTCTATTTAAAATTAACACGATAAACAGATATTGATCCTTCATTTGAAACAAAAAAGGTGAGAAGTAACATTGTATTTCACTCAGGTATTGAAAAAATATTACAAATTGCAATACATAATATGACCGAGAAAAGATTCGTTTAATTTTGTACATGTAATGATGTGTGAATGTGATGTACTGTATCAGTATATGATGTATCATCACTGTATGTAGTCTGTAGTGTACACTGTGTAGTACCAATAGTTGTAAGGCAGAAGAATTATTTATGTTTTGAAAAAAATCACTGACTGACATTTCAATATTTGGTGTATATAACTGATTTGTAGAACTTGATGCATAGTCTAACAAATTGGAAGGGTGTGTCTAACATTTATACTTTATTATTTATATGTTATAGAACTAGAAACAGGCTAGGTCTATGTACTTCATGGTCTAATGAAATAAATTTTTGTTTTAGTTAACTGTTTTGCTGACTGTCAAAATGGCATGTCCTTTTATCTTGTAAAGTGATTATGTATATAATAATAAAAATGATATTTTGACAAGTATACCACACCCTTAAAATGAAAATATTTCTTGTATTATTAAATTCTTAACTAAAATGTTTGCACACATATAAATGTTTCTTTTCTTTTAATAGAGTTAATACTAGTTAACACACTATCAAATTTTGAAACATTATGTTAATTAATGTTAGAAATATATATGTACATGATATGTTGACACTGTAAGAGAGTAATCTATACATCCTCATGCAGAACAAATTTAAAGCACTGTTAGATTGAAGTAAGTACTTATAGTCTGATTGTAAGACTATATCAGCATACGTGAAGTTTAGCTAGACTGATATGCACAAGTCAATCTGATTGTTAGCCTGTATACTAACTTGCATTTTAATGTTTGTCATGTGTAATCTTTGATGGAAGTGTTCGTGATATGAACAAAGTAATAGTGTTGTAAAATCTTTTGAATAAAATATAATAGTTTGAAGCAGTAACATTAGTACTTACATATAAGAGTTTTCTTTTTATTTCAAAGAAAGCAACCAATGATCTTGCAGCTTCTGACTTGTTTTTAACTTTTTTATTTCCATCACTCCTGGGGGGGTACCAAATATTGCACCATATTGGGTTATTTTATGTTGTTTTTTTACAATACTGATTGTAAAGATCTTGAAAAAAAAGAAGAGGGGGGAAGTCATCCATTTTTTAACTAAAATATATCAGGGACCTAGTAGTACTTAGCAGTATTAATTGTAATATTGATGGTATTTTTCTTTAAATATTTTGTGTGACTTCTGTGTTATAAGGGAACATGTAATCAATAAAGTCATGGATTAACAAAATTTTCTGCTTAAGTTGTTTAGTAAAAATGTGTTAAAAAAGTCAGCCTAGTTAAATGGATCACAACAGGCATTTTAAGGTGAAATATATTTTAGATGTGTTTTGTATGCAGTACAGCAAGTCGGATTATTAATACAGCAATTATATGTATTTATGCACATATACATAAAAGTAGGTGTGTGTGTATAGTTTAACATTTATGCCATTTTTACATTTAAAATGGAATGTTCTTATAGTGTGTGTATGTGTACTTAAAAACATATATTTGTCACCTTTATTATTTGTGAATTTTTTTAAGCTTATAAAAAAGTTTAATGTAAATGTAATGTATAGCAAAATTTATTTTATTTCAAAGGAAACCAGTAATTTCCTTTTTAATTGGCACGTTAGAAAAGTAATGAAGAAAACACAATATATATATATGTATGTATGTATGTATTTCTGAAGAAAGTAATTTACTTTTAGTTAAATGAAAATAATAAAAAACCTTTATATGATTTAATATATAATCTTTCTAAGGATGTGTGTGTGTGTTAACACTGATTATTTTCAAGTTTCCATTAAATAAGTTCATAGGCATAAAGTGTTGCATTTAACTGTGTGGTGTGTTTTTTAGGTTTTTTTGATGGGCTAAATAACATTTGTGATTTCTCTTGGGAGTTCTTTGCATGTTACTTTTAGCTATGGACAAGACCTTTTAACTGGATCACAAGAATTAAACAAGAAATTTTCTGTATTAATAGTCTCACAGATTTAACCAGAAAGAGAAATTTGCTTATGTTGGACTCTGTTAAGTAGATTGGAAAAAAAAAGTTTGGGGAAGCTATAAGTTAATTTATTAGAGCCTATTTAGACAAATATATATATTGTGGTGAGGAAAATACTTTGAATGATTATCTGATGAAAAGATTGGTTTGTAGTTTTTTAATAATAATACTTAATAATTCTTTGTAATAAGCTTCTACAATTAGCTTTAGTGGTGGTTAGCACGGTAGATGTCCGATATCTTAGAATCTTGGTTAAATGAAGATTTTGAAGATATTAGAAGTTTTTAAAAGCCTTTCCTGGAAACTGTGTAAATAGAAAGGGGAGGAAATTTTGTTTTTTATGAACAGTCTGCAAGTTAACGGGAGGAGTATTTGGATTGAGATTCCTAAAATATTTACAGGTGGATCAGTTAAGCTGCTAAAAGAAATAGACTTGTTATTATGGGAAACTTCAATTTTGGTTAAGCAACTTTGATTATGTGGTCTTCTGTGTCACCTAGTTTTTATTATGTCTGAGTGGCAGAATGAAAGGATTGAAAATACAATCTTGAAAATTGGAGTAGTAGATTTAAGCTTTGAAAAGCTCAAATGTGGACTTTTTTCATCAACAGCTTTATTTTTACTGGCAATCATAAACTAATGGAATGAATTAACCGATGACCATGTTGGTTTGAATTATTTTTAAAATTTTGTTGGTTAAATGTATGGAATATGAAGGGCTAGGTTTAAGAGTTGTGAGATTATAAGATTGAGATGTGAATTTGGATGTTAGCAATAATAAATTCTAAGCATTGAAGGGCTAGGTTTAGGCATGTTCTGTAACAAAACTGTTTTTGTTTTGATAAATATATAAACTTTTGGATTGATTTGATTTACCTGATGTTTTGGTGTGCAGTTAGTTTGAACTTTTTCAAACTATTGTTTGAAAAATAGATGCATGTTAAGTATTAATTTTTAGTTTTTTGTATTTTCGTTTTCGTACATGACGGGACGGAATGGTTTTCTGTTAACATTAGTATTTTTATCTCTTTCCCCCACCATAACAGTCTTTAGTTTTAAACATTATATTTTTACTCCCTCATAATCTTCAATTTTTAAAATTTATTATTTTTTAACCCTCTGACACAAACGTTAGTTTTTGCTATTAATTTTTGAGCCCCCCCCCTCCCAGTCTTTAGTTTTTCTTCTAGCAAATATGTTGTATGTGTATGTACAAACTGTGCAAAATTAAGTTCACCCTCTTTAAAACAACAGCTTAAACCATTTGTTTTAAAAAACATCCTAATCTTGAAATTTATCACACCACACAAACCACACCATTAACCCATTTGTTACTCCTAACCCAAGAGTGAATATTAAACATGTTATGAGACAGTTTCTGTTCACAGGCACTGATGTAAGAATTGGATACAGT